CACACAGTCGCAGAACTATACCATACATGTACATTCATGTCATAATCACTACTGTTACTTTCGCAATGTGTAGTCTAACAGGCTAATCGAACGGTTCAAATATCAATGGCCATCAATTTGTAAACGTTAATATTGATGCACCGATTTTTGAGCAACTTTTGGTAAAAGTAATATAGAAAAGTGCAATTCAAAACGTCACCTGTAGATGATGCACCCGATTTTGAAAACTAGAGACTTTTTTTATTATATTTGGTGTATTTGTCATATGAGAAATTAGTTATATCTGATTTACGGTCACGACGTCCAAACATACGTCAGATGTAATACGAATTAGTTTATATATTAATAGTTTGAAAAGCATACAAGATCTGTTAGTGATTGAGTGCCAAAACCTAAGAATGCTCAAAAATTTCTACTTGCTCTACTAAAACCTTTTTTATTCAACTGATATTCTTTCTTTATCTTTCCATAAAAATATTCCATCTTTTATTTCTTACATGTATTGAGAATTGCATTTTATAAAAAAATGTTTAGATATTAATTGACGAAAAAACCGTAAAAAAATATGACATTACATAAACAACAAGAAATTTTTTTCATGTTTGATAGAACAAAAAAGGGTCTATACTTCTGTTGGATTACTATGACTCTAATATTCTTCTCCTTCGCCTTCACCCTCGCCTTCAACTGAATCAACACCGACCTCTTCATAATCCTATAACAGAGACAAATAAATAACACTATCTACCAAGAAAAGTAGTACAATAACATCAACACCTACCTTTTCCAATGCTGCCAAATCTTCACGTGCCTCACTGAATTCACCTTCTTCCATACCTTCACCAACATACCAGTGTACAAAAGCACGTTTAGCATACATTAAATCAAATTTGTGATCAAGACGAGCCCATGCTTCAGCAATGGCAGTTGTATTTGATAACATACAGACAGCTCGTTGAACTTTAGCCAGATCTCCTCCTGGTACAACTGTCGGTGGTTGATAGTTGATACCAACTTTGAAACCTGTCGGGCACCAATCTACAAATTGAATTGTTCGTTTTGTTTTTATGGTTGCAATGGCAGCTGAAATACGCAGAACAGTTCGAGTCAAACAAGTCAAAGTAGGTGTTTTCAACATACCGTTAACATCTTTTGGGACAACATCTCCACGATATAATAGACAACAGGCCATGTATTTTCCATGTCTTGGATCACATTTAACCATCTGATTTGCTGGTTCGAAGACAGCTACAAAAGAAGAGACTATCATTTTTTGCTAAAGCGCTTTTGTTGTAAAACATACCATTTGTTATTTCAGCTACCGTCAATTGTTCATGATAGGCTTTTTCAGCCGAAATAATCGGTGCATAAGTGGCCAATGGAAAATGAATACGTGGATATGGTACAAGATTGGTTTGAAATTCTGTTAAGTCAACGTTCAATGCACCATCGAAACGTAGTGAAGCTGTTATTGAACTGACAATTTGTGCAATTAAACGATTTAAATTTGTGTACGTTGGTCTTTCAATATCCAAATTTCGACGACAAATATCATAGATAGCTTCATTGTCAACCATGAATGCGCAATCTGAATGTTCCAGAGTTGTATGTGTTGTTAAAATTGAATTGTACGGTTCAACCACGGCTGTTGATATTTGTGGTGCTGGGTAAACTGCAAATCTAAATAAAAAACAAAGAAATTAGATGACTAATAGCCAAAACTAGTCGTTCAACTTACTCAAGTTTTGATTTTTTACCGTAATCCACACTTAATCGTTCCATCAATAACGAGGTGAATCCTGAACCAGTACCGCCTTGAAAGGAAACAAAAAATTCTCTAGAGATGAACAATAATGACATATTCTTACATTCTGACTGACTAGTTTGATTATGTACAATTTTTAAAGGCTAAGTTTTCAACATATTTTACTTAAACAAATTGCATTTCTATAACTTAAGATCGTTGTACTTACCACCAAAGGAATGAAAGATCAAAAATCCTTGAAGACCAGTACATTGATCGGCTAATTTTCGAATACGATCCAATACAAGATCAACAATTTCTTTTCCAATTGTATAATGTCCTCGAGCGTAGTTGTTGGCTATAAAAAGAGGAAACAATGCATTTCTATCGAAGTAAGTGTTTTTACGTTTCAAACTTACCAGCATCTTCCTTTCCTGTAATTAATTGTTCTGGATGAAAGAGTTGACGATATGTTCCTGTGCGTACTTCGTCTGCAAGATAAAATAAGAATTAGTATACAAAATTAAAAGACAGTACATTTTCTAACGTACCAATGACGGTTGGTTCGAGATCGACGAAAACGGCACGTGGTACGTGTTTACCAGCGCCAGTTTCCGAGAAAAATGTGTTGAATGAATCATCACCTCCACCAATTGTTTTATCTGACGGCATTTGACCATCGGGTTGTATACCATGTTCTAAACAATATAATTCCCAGCAGGCATTGCCAATTTGAACACCAGCCTGTCCAACATGAATTGAAATACACTCTCGCATCTTTAAATTCTAGAAAAACAATACGTCTGATCAACAGTTTTCCATTTTTTGTTGCTGGTAAAGATTTGTTCAATACTTAGCAGATTCGTTTTTGTTCTTCAGATCGCTTACGAAAATGTAAATCAGGTTATCGCTTTTACCCTCACCAGAAACCAGCAAGCGTATCTCCTTTAAGATATTACTAACAATCTCAACTTAATAAGTATTATTCCTTATCTAAAATGTTCTTAACCTTCTCTAAAATATCCTACATGGTTGCACTTACTGTTTATAATTTAACTGTTTAGAAAAATGGCACTGGTATTTACGATTACAACACACTCTTTTAAATCGTCTAGTTCGTAGCTACAACAACAAGTGAAATATATTTCAAAGTTTTTTTTCGTTTAAATACGATAGAAATGAGAAAGAAAAGTAGTAGTGGAAACGAGAGAAGTGTTGTTGCTGCGTTGCTCTCAAACAAAAAGAAAGAAAGAAGCCATAAGAAAAAGAAGCATGTAACCAAGACGATGTTTGTTTCTTCCATCATCACGATAGCGACGTGCGGTAGAATGAGTAAAAAGTAATGAACTACGATGAATACTCTGTAACAAAAGAGTATTTAAAAAAGCCAAAATGTTGTTTTCATCGCTGACAAAACCCTTGAGCTTTTACAAATACGTTTTATAACTGTTTCAGATTCAAGCCAAAGATAGAAAATGTACTTTATTAAGTAAAACATCATAATTAGCTGGTTTCTTATTGATAGATATTAGAATATATTTGATAGATTGATTTTAAAAACACTGTTTTTTGTTTCATTAAAGAGTTTTATTCTACTTCGAGCAAGAATTCTCCATCTCATTTGCAGTCATATTAGTTACGCCGTCTACTTTGTAACCGGCGTACTTATTTTAGTTTATCATTGCCGATGAAAATTCTGTTCCTAGTTTACTTTCAGTTCATATTGTTTTACATAGTTACCAAGGAAGTCACATTGAGGAAAACAGCTAAGCATCCATTAGTGACGGCGTCATTCCTATAAGGAAGACGGGTAGCTGAAATTTTTTTAGATATGCTGATGTATTTCAGTCGTGGGCTGTTAACGTTCATTTTCAACGTCTCAATGCTGAGGAAGTTTTTACAACGTCGACAGAAAAACTGAAGATTTTCTAGAAAAAAAGTGATCCGCTGGTTTATTTTCTTTAACTATCCTATTTTAACTATTATTAGATAAAAGTACTTCGATTGATTTCGATTTTTCAAGACTAAGCTCAAAATTCTCACCAGAGTAGCAGATTTATACAAACATCGTTAAGATCGCGAACAATACATCGATTTTTTCTCCTGATAAATGTGCAGTTATTTAATACATACGAAGCGAATAAAATTAATATGAAACTAGTGGGAAAAACACTTAGAGCAATGTTCCTTTTGTTCGATACGAATATGGCAGTATCAAAAATCTTTATCTGAAAAGCGATCTCCTTTATATGAAGTTTTATTTTTGGCTATTGACTGGTATTATCTAGAAAGTTTCCTGAAATTTTAATAGATTCCTCATGGGCGATTATACGTATTTCGCTTATGCACTTTTTTTGCTGATTATTCGATTTTTTCAGTTCTGTAACAATACGAGATTTTCTTTAATAATTGTTTCTGATGTCAGTTTATGTTGCATCGTTAAGTGGCTCCCTCTATCCAATTTAACATTTATTTAAAAAACTTTCAAAATATATTAATTTATCTTGTACTAGTTATCAGTTATTTTTCATGCAATTGCTTAATCTGTGTTCAGCGTTGTATCATATTCTTTATTCGTTCTCTCTCTTGATTGGCATATCCATGGGATTCTCTGCCATGCGGCCGTTTTTCTATGGTGTACACAGACTGTTCTAGTCAGAGCGCCGAGAATAAGTTAGGTCAGACACAGAAGTTTAGCAGAAAAATCTATGTCTAACGTTGTGTGTAATGTAAAATTATAACTTTAACGCATTATTTTTTGGAGAATTCACCCCAAGAATAAATAGTTTTGCCTCTGAAAGGTGACTTTGTGCGCTCTACCTTTATGCCATTTATCATTACTTTATTCTTTCTGAAACGTAGTCTATAGAGTTACACATTCGAAAAACCGTTAACATGTTTCCAGCTCTGAAAACGTTTATTTATACGGACACAGTGAACGAAGCAGACGGGCATTAACCTTTTTTATCATCATAAATGGTTGTTTTTGGCTTAGAATACCTGTTGTATGGCTTGGAGTTAATGCTGTACTACGCTGAGTTCGAAGCATCTGTTTACGACAGGTGAATTTTTATACTTTTGAAAAATCTCTTGATAAATGCCGACATTCTCAATTCTGAGCAATACTATACAGGTATAGTTTCTATTTTAGTTTTCCGAAGAAAAATGAAATCAAATGAACCTCCAAGATCGTTCATTCGAACAAAAATTTTACATTGGCTTGTCAACATCATCATTATCGTAATTATTATCTCATTTCTTCTAAATTTTATTCCACGTGTACAATAGAGATGAATCACTTTGTCCTGGGATCAATCCATTTGAAAAAACATGGGTTTTTCCAAAAACTATTTTAAAATTTATACTAGTTTTTGAAGATCCAAATAATAACGACGAATTTATTAGCGATCTAATGTATTTAGAATATCCGCATCCAAGTAATCGTTACTAGTTTCCATTGGATATTTTTATAAAGTGCCTCTGTTATTTGATCTTTACTATTTTAAAATAGCATGACGATTTTAATAAAGTTAAACAGCAATGATATCGATTTAGCGGGGTAAAAGAAAATTCCTTTTTCATAATGGATGCGTCCTCAACTCCGTCACTGACTTCAAACATCTGTTCTCTCGATAAAGTTCAAGTAAATTTTCATTTACGAATATCAGATTATGGTATGAGGACTGACGACTAAGTGCATCCGCTATAGTGTCACTAAAACATATAGGATATTCAAAATTCGAACTGAAATTCATTGGATGAAAATTTTAGATTTAAATAAGCTTCAAATAACATT